ATGAAACCATTGAAAAGTTAAATCAAATCTCTCCAGGTTGAGTTTTGCACTTGGTGAGTTCATGAATATACACTCGTGTAAATTTGCTTACTACAGTACCAAGGTGATTTCCTATTTCTAGGATCTTTTTCAGTTTCATAATTTAGCCTATAGTTTTGGTATTTTCCAATAGGCTCCCTTCAAATCAGATGCGACTCTGCTTATTTTGCTAGCTCAGAGAAAGTCAGTCAGGTGCTGCCACCTGCTGAAGTTACAAAGCTATATATTGTTCAGCCAAATTTAGGATGTTGTTTCTTCTTATGGATCATCATGGCCACATATAAAAGTATATAATTTTTTTCAGTAAAAAAAATGAGGTTGATGCTCACCATCTTCTGTGCAGAAGTCAATAGAAATTGTAGTTGAATTTTAGGTGCAATAGGACAATCTTCTCTCTTGCCTCTGAAGGCAACATCCTGTTACATGCTGGCAAAACAATGGAAGGGCTGCAGGGCTTTCAGGTTTTGTGGCTTTGGCTGGTTATTCTTCTATGTTTATAATCAAACAGTCAATATTCTTCCTGCCAGGGTCTGGGCATGAAGAGACAATATGCCTATAGAAGAATTCAGGTGCTGCCTACATGAACACGATTCCCTCATTTTACTTAATGATACAGTACAGTACCTATTACTGTTTGTTGAAATGGGGGAGGGGTTATACTTGATCAATGCTTTCTGATAAGCCTTGGATCTTTTTTCCTTCAAAATATATATTTTTAAAAATTGCTAGGATTCTGCTAATACTGATATGATAATAAAACATCCTAAGAACGTGCTGTACAAGTAAATGTATGCAAGTACAGAATTAGATAGATAGATAGATAGATAGATAGATAGATAGATAGATAGATAGATAGATAGATAGATAGATAGATAGATAGGCAGGCAGGCAGGCAGGCAGGCAGGCAGGCAGGCAGGCAAGCAGGCAGGGAGGCAGTTACCAAGTAACTCTGGATGGCTAACAAGTGTTAAAAACCTCAATACCAGAAAATGATAAAAATAAAATATAGCAAAGTAAATTGAAATAAACATCAAAATAGGAAAGAGAAAGTAGGGAATATGGAGGAAAGGTAGGTTTAAAATAACTGAGACTGTCAAAGAGAACATTTGGAGATGAATAATACTGCTACAATATTCGAGAAGGCTGAAGTCCTGCCTTGGTTTACATACTGTGTTAAATCATGGTCTCTCTAACCATGTACCATAAGTAATTTTGTAGAACATATTAAACCTCAATGGCTTGGGTTTTCACAGCATGTTCAGTCTAACTAGTGCTTTTTTTCTTAAAAAAAAAAAAAAAGGTGCCAGAACTCACACATGTCATACAACCCACCTTGCCTACCCTACAAGGTTCCATCCAAAAAAGGTGCCGGAACTCCGTTCTGGGCATTCTATGAGAAAAAAAGCCCTGAGTCTAACCAAGGAAGCATATTGTTGCATAGTGCAGGGTGTGAACTCAGCCATATGGTTCCTATGTAATTGTACATTACAGAGAAGAGCAACAAAGATGATTAGGGGACTGGAGGCTAAAACATATGAGGAATGGTTGCTGGAATTCTGTATGTCTTGTTTAATGAAGAGAAGAATGAAGGGTGACATGATAGCAGTGTTCCAATACCTCAGGGATTGCCACAAAGAAAAGGGAGACAAGCTATTTTCCAAAGCACCTGAAGGCAGGACAAGAAGCAACGTATGGAAACTAACCAAAGAGAGAAGCAACCTAGAACTAAGAAGAAATTTCCTGACAGTCAGAACAATTAATCATTGGAACAACCTGCCTCCAGAAGTTGTGAATGCTCCGACACTGGAAGTTTTTAAGAAGAGACTGGACATTGTCTGAAATGGTATAGTATTTCCTACCTGAGCAGGGGGTTGGACTAGAAGACCTCAAAGATCCCTTCCAACTCTACTACTACTGCTGCTGCTGCTGCTGCTGCTGCTGTTGTTGTTGTTGTTGTTATTCACACATATAGCCATATTACCTGCTACTCTTTCCAATCAAAACTGGGGCAGTGAACCAAACCATAAATAGTTTTCAAACATTATTAAAATGCAAGTGCCAAAAATAACAGACTGATACGTTTCCACCCTAATATGTTAGAATCTAAACAATTAGATACTAACACACTACACTACAGACCTTGGATACAGACCTTGAACCACCTGTGTTTCACTGTCACTGAATGGTCTAAAACGTTAAGGAATGCTGGTGACAAAGTAATAATCATACTGATTTAGTGAGCTAATACAGAACAGGGTCTTATTACATGAAAAAAAGAAGGCAGGATCCACATCAGCAATAACAGCTGTCAATGTAGCCTGCTTAAGCAATGTGAAACATGAAAGTTATGCTGGGAAATGTTTATGTTGAAAAGCTGAGTTCAAAGAGACTCTTCAAACCTTGGGAATGGGAAAGTCTACACATAAACTAAAGCAAGGTAATAAACTATTGTACTTAGCACAATTATTATCATTGTAACATATATTCTCTCTGACCTACTTCTGATAATCTGTCTTTGAACAGGTATGCTACATTATAGGATGGTCCATTTCACAACAGAAACAATAAAATTGTGATGAGTGAATGTGATTAAGGATTTCCTGATGGGAATGGTCTTAGTTGTACAGGTAGTCCTCAAGTTATGAAGGTAATGGAGCCTGCCCATTCCACTCGTAACCTGAGTACTCATAGGGATGAATCTCGTACCTTGAATGAGATCACTCCCTGCTTTCGTCCATGCATTTGCTAATCAAATACGTGGGCAAATGAGTGGTTCGTTAAGTGCACTTGAGGTATCTTAGGGTGGGGAATGCCGTGGGGGCGTAGTGATAGAACAGGCTTCCAAGGCCTCCCCGACCCACTAAGATATCGCATGTTTCCCCCTCCTTTCCTGCTATGCCGGACTCACCTTGCAAAGATCTGTCTCCTCTCTGCAGAGGTTTCTGCCTTTGAGGGAGAGGAGAGTCAATGGAAGCTCCTGCATGCCGTAATATTGCGTGAGTTCAGGCATCCATCTTCTTTTGCAGAGAATGGATGCCTGAACTCTTGCGAAATTGTGGATCTCAGAAACGTTCATTTTCGGTGCAAAAAGTGTTCGCGGTGCCTCTCTCCTGCTCACCCCAACTCCTTTCTGCCACCACCAGAACACTTTTCACCCAGACGGAGACCTTGGAAGCCCCATCTGCATGCAAATGAGACACTTGAAAATGCAGTGATTTGCTGTGTTTTCAAGTACCCCATTTGCTCACAGATGGAGCTTCCAGTCTCCCGAAGATCTCTGTTCAGGCAAAAAGTGTTTGAGCACTTATGGGGCCCTTGGAAACACTGTGATTTGCTCCATTTCCAAGAGTCCCAAAGGCGCTCCCACACTTTTTATCCAAATGGAGACCTTGGGAAGACTGGAAGCTCTGTCTCTGTGAAAATGGGGGACTTGAAAATGCAGCAATTTAAAAGGAGGTTTATGAAAAACAGCCATCTATCTATCTGTCTGTCTGTCCGTTCATCTGTCTGTCTATCTATCTATCTATCTATCTATCTATCTATCTATCTATCTATCTATCTATCTATCTATCTATCTACCTACCTACCATCTATCTATCTTTCATGGATATTATTTATCCATTTTCTCATATCTATTCTGGAGGATATGGGGTATTTTCATGTGTATTGAGCTTCTCAATAATGATCTTGTCCTATACAAATTCATTTAATCCAAATGTTTGTTTTTATAGACCCTCACATCTGTTCCAGCTTCTGAGCTTATTTCTGGAGAACAAAGAATAACCCACACCCCCAAAATGCAGACGTTGTTTGATACAGTCAAGGTGACCTGTTAGTCACCTTCAAATGATAGCTTCATGGTTTATCATAGATTGATATTGTTGATAAGAAGCAGATTGTCACATGAACACTAACAAGATGTTATCCAAGTACTGTTGTTTAAAAGACATTTCAAGGTCCCATGCTTTCTGCAAAGCCTGCAGATGAACTGATAATTTCTGCCTAGATGTTCTGTAGATTGATGTGACAACACTGGATGATAATAAGTACAGAGGTGTTCTTTAAGGGAATTATACCAATTCACACTTTTTGTTCAAAACATAGTGTTCCTGAAATGGCAAACTCGGCCATTTTTAGCCACTGTTACAAAATAATTATCTAATAATCCTGCATTGTTCAAACTGAAATACTATTTATAAGAAAACTGTGAAAGCCAGGCAATTGAAAAATGTAGCATTTTATTTCAAGAAAACACAAAATCACTCAACCATCATGATTACATCTTTAACAATATTCAGTAACTTTTTCAGTACCTTATTTTTATGGAGATGTCAGTTTGATGGTCCTGCTGTGGCATGTCATTGCTTTTTTTTGAACCTCCAACAATAAAGTAAAACCAGAAGAATAGCTTCATGGAGCTGGGGAGATTAACAGCACCAGTTGACATATATGCATTTCAACTCCACAATTATCCATTAGATCAGAGGTCCCTAATCCCTAGGTCTTGGACCGGCATTGGTCCACGACCTGCCAGGAACTGGTCCATGCAAGCAAGTGAAGCATTATCCACATGTGTGTGAGATCTAGGCAGCACACAAAACTACTACTACTTCCCTGTCTGTGGAAAAACTGCTCTCTACAGAACCAGTCCCTGGTGCCCAAAAGATTAGGGGTCGCTGCATTAGATAGCCTCCCATGTTCGCTACCAAAAAAAGCATTAAGAAACACAAGCTGATGAGCAAAACTTATGATACCATTCTGTTGAATCTCCCCCCCCCCCCACATACTATGCACAAGCACACAACTTCACTTGTTAGATGTCTGAATAACCCAAGTAGAATCAAAAAGAATATTTAAGTTTTTAAGTGGGGAAAAAAAAGACTTGGAATCCTTTACAAAAGGCTTAAACAGAGATAGAACAGGATATGCATGAGAATTGGAGAGAGATAGGGGGGAGGGAAATGAGAGAGAAAAAGGAATCACTCTTGGAGAGGATGTTAGATTTTTGCAAAAAAAATAACAGAAACCTTAATAGGGAATTAGAAACAGACCATCACCCTATGTGAATGCAAATTCTCTATCCTGAAAAATCTATTGTGATACAAGATCTACAGCCTTGGTAATTGTGTCTTCCATTATGAAAACAGCTCAAGTGCGTAAGACAGGGATATCAGATCCCACAGCCTTTCTTAGTTAGCCTGGTGCCTTCAGAATTATTAATACTCTTAATTCTAAATCAACAGGACTTGGCAATTGGGAATTTATGGAGCTGAAACTCATAAATGTGGAGACTCATCTAGCTAGCATTTGTAAAAGAAAATAAAGTAATTGAGTAACAGTATCACTGAAGAATAGATTGCTGTTTTTGTTTTTCTATGAAGCCTAGGTACCTTTGAATAACAACATAGAATAAAAGGTTGTATCTTTCCCACCCATTGCTTCATTCTAGCCATTATATTTCGGCATATCACGAACTCCAGAAAGGCAGGGGGATAAAAAAAAACCCTCTAAGAACATAGCATAGCGAATTCAAATGGAATGGCTGGGTTTCCGAGAATTCCTACCATTGCTTTAGACAAAATTCACATGGTTGGGAAACATGCCCTTTTTTTTCTTATGGTTAATTGTTATCCCTCTTAACTATTATAATCTCATGACCATTTGCATTATTATTATAATAAAGCTAGAATGAATTAAAAATTAAAAATAAGCTAACAAAACCATCAACCATTAAAATGCGTTAAAATGCTGTTTTAAGGCCTTTATAAATATTTGAAATAATGTCAGTTTTCTATATTTAATAGGGAATGTATCTCTTAGAAAAGGACTGTTATTTTCCCTCAAAGGCACTGACTGACTTTTTAATTAATTACAGATAGAAGAAAAGTGGGGACAAAGAAACTGCCTTGATCTCCTATAGAAATGATGCATCCAGCAAGCATGCGAACACACTGCTGATTATTAAAGTGGAATTGTTGAACTATAACTAAGAAAGAGAGTGGTCACTGGGTAATATTTTTATGGTTTCTGAGACTCATGAGAAAGGCAATGATGTCAGATTTAGGCTAGAAAAGTCCAGTGAAAGTAAATCAGTCACATCTGGGCAGATGAGATAGATATGTAGGTAAAGCAGGCCCAGGAACCAAACTCAAAGCATGGATCACTTGGCAATAATGCAATATTTGTGTTGGACATTGTCTAGATTTCAGAAGAACCTAAGTTAAAGTTGGTTGTTTGAGTGAGCTATGCAAGTTCACCCAATGTGGACAATTGATGTGTCAATGCATTATACAAACTCAGAAGATTGGATTAAAAATTGAATAAATCATGGTTTACTGGGAGTTGATATCATGCAAAGTGCTGATATTTATGATTGAAGACCTTTGGATAGAGGACACTGGCAAACAATATTTTAGGTAGATCCAGGAGAGTTCTGAGGGTTGAAGCTATTCCTGCCGAAACAACTGATTTCTTTCAAGAAACTCACTGAAACTAAGTGAATTTTGGTTAAGAAATAAAATCTGTAATGTGGCCACTTTCACTTCTTATGAAGAGCTCTCAATAAGCCTTTGTCAATGTTGCAATATTAGACCATTGCAAGATTAGGAAAATGGACTTTCTGGTGGAACCATGAATCAAAGGATAATACTATTTCTTCTGGACAGGAAGTTCCTAAAAAATGGAAGCATCAACTTCTTCATTTTTTGTTGCACAGCGATTAGTCCAAAGATCTACACTGTGTGTGTTGAGAACCTTTCTGCAACATTCCTCAGGATGCAGAATAAATTGAATGGCAGACATAATTCTCTTCTAACTTCACATAGCCACTTAAAATTCCCCAGCATCTATTACCAGAGGCAGCTATCTCACTTTGCCTTATGACAGAGGCAGGCTGAGCAATAATTAGGCATGTAAACTCTGCCCTTACATTCTTTTTAATTCAGTGCTATAGGATAAAATATAACTTATGAATCTTCACTTGCTGTTGTGAGCCAGTCACTTGTATGGCATAAGTATCTATTAGCATATGTTGAGCTAATGAACACTTATCTTTGTCCCTAACAGCATAACCTCTTGGAATCTTGAAGAAAATGAGAAATACTCCAGCATGTAAATAAACACAAATGGAAGTAAGACCCTTAATGTATGTAGGTCTTTGGATTGTGTCACATATTTACAGCATCTCAGTAATGTTTTTGTGACTGCACAATGGCTTTCCCGCTACTGATCACTAAGGTATGTCTCTGAGACAAATAAGATGACATTTATCTTCATCACTTTAATTGCATTCTTCTAGACAACTCCATCCTGCCTGGGATTCCTCTCATTGTTATGATGATATAACCAAGGCTTCAGAACCACTATGTAATGCTGTATGTAGCTCTTGAAGAGAAGGCGTGAAATAGCATACAAAAGGCAGAGTGATTCATACACCAACTAGTTTTCAGAATATGGCCTATCCATTGCACTTATACATAACCAGCACAAATAATTTGGAGTATGCAGGATCTGGAATGAGGTAGTTATGAGTTGGATTCAAATACAATTTATTGCATTTTGTTCCTATTGAAATCAGTGAGACAAACCATGATAAATCATGTCCTGATTCACCAGAGATTCACAACTAGAATTAATAAGCCATCAGATAAAAAGTGTAATTCCTGGATTTATAGTCAGTTGTTAGAATATGAGATTTTTATGTTTCCAGTGAAGTAAATGTGATTCTTAGCTCTGGCACAGTTTATACCTTCCTTAACCACAGGCCTCCATTGAGGCCAGGTGATAATAAATTAAAAGATTCAAGATTGCAATATAAAGGAGGAAATCAAATATTAAAAAATAATATGCTCATGTACTTGGTATGTGTGCTGCTGGCAATCACTTGCTGCACTCCCCATGCTGCAAGAATATTGTAGTATGTTCGAGATACACACTTGGGTAATTGCCATCTGGAAGATGGGCTGAAATATAGAGCCCATAGGTAGGAAACTATGTTCTGTCACATTTGTGCTATGCTGAGATATTAATTTATATTTTGAACTTATTCTCCTTCACTTGTAGGGAACTGAAATTGTCACTGATTCTTTTTTTGATGAAAAACATTCTGGTATAATTTTGAAGGATAGGGAGAAAGTTCATATGATGCCTAAGAATTTGGTGTAAAGTGTATCATTCTAAGAAGTTTTGCTTTTATAGTGCAATCAAGTTTTCAGCAATCTGAGGTTCCCTGGCTTTCCATATTTCCATTTCTATGCTAAATGAGACACCTATCACAGGATTTCTTCAGGTTAGCAAGCAAAATGGCTGTGAGATGGGAAATTAATGCTTAACAGAAATATAACAATATTAACAAGCAAGACCAATAACTCTATCAAAAGAAGCTCTGAAATAACCTAAGAGTTAAACAGAATAACAGAGACTTCTTTTACCAAGGAGATATCCTTCAGGAACTGGATGGCCTAATTTAAACAGAAAAATTGAAAGAGGAAACAATAGAATGTTTCTTTAGAAAATATTTGTTCAGTTAACCTTCTTCCTTGTTTAGTGCACAAACATTCTGATGTTTGGCAGCACTCTTAATACATGTCTTATTTTAGAGTTCAAAAGTATGAAATCATCTTTGGTAAATACTTGATAAACACTTACTGAGATGCTTATTAGGAGTCTTTTAGTACAAAAGTACTTGTGTGGTGTTTATCCTTCATCAAGAGGCTTCTTTTAGCTGCTAGCGTAGTGAAAAAGACACCTGAGGCTGTATCATGATGATTATGCCATTGACTAGGCATGCTGCTATGGTATTTAAGAAACCACAAATCTTGTCAATCAAAGGAAGATCTAAAGGTTTACTGGCAATCTTCAGATTTCATTGTGTCAGGAGAGAAACATTCCTTAGACTCTTTTAGCATTATTGCCTCACTACAATCATCCACTGTGTCACCATTTACTAATTGCTATTTTCAGGGAAGTAGTGAATCTACTAAATGCACTTAAGCCTTCGAAGAAAGCAAAAGAGCTCCTCCACGAGCTGTAATCAACCATCTTAGAACTTATAAAATGTCTATCAACACATGAAAGTGTTCCTGATCCTATTATAAGCAAGGAACAGAGATGAGAATTTCTGACTTTCAAGAGATAGGTAATCTTTGTTAGCAAGTGCCTTGGATGACAATCATTTGCAAATTCAACAGTAGTAATAAAGAACAGCAAACTGTATAATTAAAAAGTCATTTTCTGGTCAATGAATGCCATAAATTTCTGAGCCTGAGAACGACATGTGCCAAAGTGAGAGTAATACTAGCATTGCTATATAAGAATTTTTTTTTTAAAGTGAGACAACAGCAACCAGCAATCTTTGCAGGATCTCTTTTTTCCTCTGTCATGTGGTTCGCTTAACAGCCATGTTGCTAAGTGACCATTTCACAGAAACAAATTGCAGTTGCTAAATGAGAACTACCTGTATTGATGAACTACCATCATGTCTAGCTATAATGCTCAGTATTGACTGAACAATAATTGGAAAGCCATGATTTCTTGGTCTTTGAAAGACACCATCACTTTCTAAGTATCCCAAATTAGTAAGCAAAGCACTGGAAAACTGGAAAAAAAATAAGATGCACAGCTAGCTGTATTTGATACAATAGGAAGACAATCTACGTCAGCATTAATTCTATCACTTTCTATTTCTTCTATCACTTGGTATTAAATAGCTGCATGTCTGTGCATCTTTCTTACACTGCAATGGCAGCAACATTTTGTCATGCTTTGCTCTGCTGCACGTATGAAGGTTAGCGAAGGATAGCTGCTCATCTCTTCAGTGGAAAAAGTCTTTGTCAGCTCTTTCTCTTCTAGTGGATAGCCAGCATCTTCATGCCCTGTCACCACCACCTTCTACAAATTCCTGATGCCCGGAGCTGGTACATTCAAGAATCAAGCCAATGTCATCATTATAACATTTAAGGTACATCTTCACATATTATCATAGATTATAGATAAACAAACAGCGGGTTCAGAGAGATGCAATGATAAGATATGTTGTGCATATCAGCTGTTTTTAATACCAAAGTGTTTTTTTCTGGACACTCACAGAAATTTAAGACAAGAGATAATGATGCCGGAGGGTCTCCTGATCAAGCAGAAGTTAATTTATGATTGTCACATTCAATATGGACCTTTTCTAGTCATATATTCTCCATGGGTTTTTTTTTCAGGCTTTCTTATCTACTAAACATATGTGTTTGCTCCAATGGAAGAGACTGCACTTAGACCTAAAGTGTTTTTTTTTCAAACAAGAATCCTTTTAAGGAAATAAAACATTCATGCTGAATCAATGTATAAAAGTGAATGTCTGGAGGCTGCATTGCCAAGGATGCTCCTCCATCTAATACAGTGGTTCTCAACCTTTTTAATGCCATGACCCCCCAACTGGTCATAAGTCGAGGACTACTCAACTGGTGCAGCACTGTTTGCAGAATGGGACTTTTGGCGGGCTCAGCAGAGCAGAGACAGCCTGGACAATTCCCATTGGCTTTTGAAAGCCAATAGAATTAGACTCTATTCAAGAGAGTCTAATTCTATTGGCTTTCAAAAGCCAATAGAATAAAAGGGAGTAGCACAGCTAAGGAAAAGGGGAAAAAAATGGTGGACTGCGTTGTTTGGCGACCCCCGTGAAATGGTCGGTTGACCCCAAATGGGGTCCCGACCCACAGGTTGAGAACCACTGATCTAATACATGTGAGGTCACTGGAGATATCTGCAAGAAGGAAATGTTGGCCTGCAGCATCCACATAGTCTGAATGATGGAGACTCTTTTGTATACTGCAAGGGCTTGAAATAAACACAGTTACCATATCATAGATGGGAGCAAGTAGGTGCACATAATGTTAGGGTTAGGCAGCAGGCTACAAACCAGAAGCTGTGTGAGCCGGCTGAGTGAACTTGGGCCAGTCATTCTCTCTCAGCCCAACTCACCTCACTGGGTTGTTGTTATGGGGAAAACAGGAGGAAGGTATGTTGGATATGTTCACCACCTTATTTGTAAAAATAATAAAGGTGGGATATAAATAAATAGTTGCGGCCCTCATCTCATTCATACAGAAATGCAACAAATGATGGTTGCTTCTGAATAAAGTTAACATTCTGCTCATCTATCTGCCTTTCCATCTTTAATATTAATGTTCCTGATGTGTGACTTGCATTCTATAAAATAAGGGCAAAATTTGAAATAGCTTTTCTGTTGCACAAAGAGAAAACATTGTCTTTTGTATTCCTTCTAGCGTAATAGGACAATTATTGGCACCATTCACAGGTAAACTGTTACCTGTTCAAACCCTGCATCTTCTTTATTTATCTGGTGAATCTTACAAATAAATCGTGGGGATAGTCTTGTCCTGCTGCATTCACTAATTTGTAAGCAAATGATACAGCATCCTATGAGCAAAATGTTCCCAAAATCTTATTTTTTTCACAAAGCTCTACTGTACTATAGCTCTACAATAAGCTATGCTGGAGTCTAACTAGAAAAATAAAGCTTTTGAACATAAGAACATATATTTTCCGACAGAAAGTATATATCTATTAATAATGTATTTCTTTGAATACAGAAACCGAAGTTGGATGTCTGCCAATCATAGCAATGTCCATGTTTGTACTTAAAGTGATGCCCAATTGTGATTAATTAATTAAGCTGGATTTACAAGACTTCAAGGTTTGTCTCCGATTTGTAAAATTCCCAGGGAATGTTAATGTTCCCAATTTGAATAGAGTAAATTTGATAACAGACTGAATAAAGATTCCTGCAGCTAGCCATTCATGTTCTTGAACCTTGATAACCCCCCCCAAAAGGTTAGTCTTTAGTCATCCCAGTATTCATTAACATTTAAAACTGATTTTCATTGCTTAATTGACATAATTTCTTTATATGCATTTTTTCCAACCTTAAACACTCAGATTCCCTAAAAGTCAAACTCTTGTGAAGTTTCCCAGGTTACTGTATTTTGCCCTAAACCTTTTTTCTCTATTCTTTCAATGCCCCATTAACAAAAGCACATGATGGGTGGTACATCAAGGTCAGGGGTGTGTTCGAAAAGTGACATCAACAAAAGGAGACAATAAAAGGGCTCCTTAGCTACTGAGAAGTTCTATTTAAAGTTACATTTAAGGAGTCTTCTTAGACCAATTAAGCAGTCTTCAAATCAACTTCTGCTTGCTGAGACTTATCTAAAGGAAGAACCAACTTAAAAGCTATTTGGTAAGAATACTCTGTTTTATTTTGAAAGTTAATTTTCATGTATGTGTATGAAATTGGATAAAATAAATGTAGATAGGAATATGAACTATCCAAATTATATTTATGTTTAGGTGGATAATAAAAATGCATGTACAGAAACTGTAAATCGCTTAATATTTTATTTAGCATTGCTATAGCACCTTTATAAAAAGTTATTTGAGAACACACATTTCATTGCCAATCAAAATTACACTGGAATTTATAACTGGATTCAGAATTAAAGTTACATTTTACTTCTTGAATACTTATCAGCTTTTATGTTCTTTCCCGAGAAACTCAAAGGCTTTGTCAATAAAATTTCTAGTGATAATAATTGGTTTATGATGCTTTCAAGAACAAATTTTTGATGCCTACACATTTTCCAGGGGGAAAAAATAAATCAAAATGCCTCCTACAGCTAAAATAGGAAGATTATGAAAGGAAAAAAGATGCTGCAGTTTCATTTACAGCACAATGAATTTCTAAATGATGGGAGGTTTGTGTTAGGGACAAAATTGGTTTGACTGCTCCAGTCAAATTAATGATTCCCAGTCATCATTCAGTATCAATGTTTATCCAGGACAGGCAAGTTGCAGCCCTTGGGCCAAATTGGATCATCCTACCTGATTTATGCTGCCTTTCTACCACGAATAGCCATTTAATAATTAAGTGAACACATATTTTTTTTTTTCATTTGAAATCAAAAAATACCTCAGTTAACAACAGTTACTGTTCTTTTATGCCCGTGATTTTAGTTCTGACTTTGATTAATTTACTTCATATACAGGAGGTTAAATATGTCAAATTGCCCATTCATTGGACTGAGTTAGTTGTTAAGATTAAAATTAATAGGTCTTAGTGGCAGATGGGAAATGCTTCTATATATCCAAGAACATGCATGCAGTATTCAGCTTATGATTTTGAACATCCTGTTTAGGATGCTTCCCCCCTGTTCCCACTTTTATCCATACAGGATTAAAACATCTCAAAGCCATCTCTTAAGTTTTATCTCCCTGGAAGCACAAGATTATCTGTCAAGTGAAAATCAGTTCTGTCTAGTTAACATGAGATAAATTAACACAGCTGTTAAAGCAATCATATGACTGCATCACTATGTTTTAAAACTACAGGATCCATTTAAGTCATGCAATCAAGAAATTCATTTTGGGTCTACGAACCCTAATTTTACCAAAACCAAGATAATCCCTTATTGGTGATAAATAAAAAGATTTTGAGAAAAAATAAATCGTCCTTCTTACGTAAGAAATTCAGTAGAACAAAATGTGGCGATATCTGCAAACTTTCAATAAGACTGAAAGAATTATCCATGAAAACAACATAGAAGCGTAGCAGATAAATAACGGGAACCTTATTAATTCCACACTTTGTATGTTTCCTGAGAACAACTGGATGGCTGCGGTTGGAAAGAAAATGGGAGACAAGACATATCTATGGTTTGATACAGCAGAGTAGGGTTTATTGAAAGTATTCTGCCAATGTGACTTCCATTATATAAATAATTTCATCAGAATTAGTGGATTAGCCATCTCTTAATTAACGAATAGATGCTGAATGAGTTCTCTTTTGTTATGTATGATGCAGATCTGCACCAATGTAGAGCAAACTAGGATATACATAAGAGGGATTTGGAGAAGAGAAAGTCCCATGACCTGATTGAAAAACTGTTTGAATTGACATTTGCTATTGCTTAAATATGTATATATTTGCCTGGCTGATCACGCCAAGGCTTATTCTAGTTCAGCATTTTGCTCCTCACAGTAGTCAACTAGAGGTCTCTGGGGTGCATGATCCTAGGAGATGGAGATGGACTTTTCTACCTTTGCTCCCCTGCAAGGGATAGATGAAGGCAAATTCTCCCCCTCCCCCAAAAACCCTTGGAAGTAATATTGCATTATCAAGATTTGCCAAGATATAATAGATATATTACCCATTGATTTATCAAATCCCCTTTTAGAATGATCCAAGTGGCCACCAGGTCTTGTGAGTTAATTATACACTGCGTGAAGTACTTTCTTTTGCCAATTTTAAATTTATTTCTGGTTAGGGATGACCTCTGATCCTGATGGTTTCAGAAAAGAGAGCCAAAATTATCCTTGTCTTCTTTCTGCTTGCCATGCAGGATTTTGCATACTTTGCTCATATTCCATCTCAAACTCCTTTTTACTAGGCAAGACATTCTAGGCTTTTCTCATGAGGAAGGTATTCAAGCTCTCTGATAGTTTTGGTTGCCTATTTCTTTTGGGTTTTTTTCAGCTATTACATCCTTTTCCAAATATAGTCAACAGAACTGTACAAAGTATTTTATTATTAGACAAAAAGTCTAATGGACTTTTTGTGTAAACATGAAAAAATGAATTTGTGATCTATGGTTTTGATGATTAGAAAAGATAGATTATAGAAAGAAGAAGAAAATTATGTAACTTTGGAGAAAAAGGTTAAAATATATTTGTACACATAATTGCTGTGAAGACTATTGGAAGCCACTTCATCTTTTTAGTTTCTTTTCTATTTTTCTTCAAGTTCTTTCTTTCTTGTTGCCTTTTCTTTTCTTTTTTATATTATTTCTTGTTAGTTTTTAATCTTCTATAAACATTTTGTTAAAAAATACACACACATACAGTATGTACATAGTATTCCATAGGTGATATTATTAATAGATTTACTGTATATCTTGTCTTTATTCTGAACAACTCAAGATATGTTCTGCCTCCTATTTTTTTCCATAGCTGTTATGGGATGGCATGGATTGAGACCAAGTCACCCAGTCACCTTCCATGCATAAAGGAGGATGAGGGGGGTCACAATCTCCTGATTTCTAATTTTAAACCATATACTGTCCAATATGGAATTAAAGAGTTAATGAAATAGTGATGATTTTCTAAACTGTGGTCCTTGTCATACTTGCTGACTTCCAAATCTAAATGGATGGAGTGATATGAGATGTGGAAATTATTAAACCTGTTAAAAGCACTTCATATTTATTTAATGTGGATATAGCAGGAGATAAAGGAATATGATGGATAAACATTTATATTTGCTGACTCAATCTAAATTATTGGCAGCAATACAAACACCATATATTGTTATCTTTTATAAAGACAGAGACACTAAGGCAGGGGAATATAAATCATAGCAAATGTTAGATAAATATTTGTGATTAATTTAATTCCCAATTCTCTCCTTTCTTCTTATTACATGAAGAAATACAATTCCCTTTTATAAATAATTTTCCCATCATTTCTGCGATTTGGATTATACTATTCAGGATAATTTTAATCTGTGAAAATGTATTTTGACTTTTCTTTCAGTTAACATGACTTCAATCAGGGATATGACTAAATCTGCATTCATTTTATATGCTGTCTGTTTCTTCATAAATTCTGATGGAAAAGCTGTGATGTAAGTATATAACTAAGCTATATCTTTTATGGGAAAGTGACAAATGTTGAGGAGCAACAAAAACAAAGTTTAATCTCTGGTGTTTAGTTGCAGTATAGTTAGTGCTATTTTTCACCTTTAAAGCCTTTTAAGGTGTAGCATTGGACATCATGTTGCTAGAATCAAATCTGCTTGTCCAGTCCTAACACCCAATGTCTTTGCTAAAATGCCTTTCTTATGAAAAGGTGGAACAGTAGGGTGAGCAGAACGGTATCTCCATCAGAACCCCCAAGCTCTTAAACAGGTTCCCTCAGAGCACACATGTCAAACACAAGGCCCGGGGGCCGGATGCGGCCTGCAAAGTGGTTTCATGTGGCCCGTGAAGCCATCCTGGAAACAGTGAGGGAACGGCCTTGGCCCTGGTCCAGGCCGGCTGGGAGCCAATTTTGTGGTGGCCATCTATGCTGAAACGCATTCAGTCTTAGCTCCACAAGGCCGTCTGGAAACAGCAAGGAAACAGCCCCTGCCGTATTGGCCCCGCCCCCTGGGTGCATACTGGGGAAGTCTCACCCTTTGTGAGGAATGAAGAAATGGACCATGCCTTGGCACTTGCCCTGGTCCCACCCACTTCTGCCAGAGACCCTCAGATCTGTCCCACTCCTGCCCAGGCCCCGACAGGCACCCTTGACGCGAACAATGTAGAGCTGGCCATGCCCATCCAGTAGGCCACACCCACTCTCACCACACCCATCCAGCCCCCCCCCCAAGGGCAACTGCAATACTGATGCAGCCCTCAATGAAATTGAGTTTGACACCCCTGCCTTAGAGGTACCCTGGACTGCCCTTTTATATTCCATAAGCCACTTCAAAGTATTCATTAAACTTATGTTCAGGTCAAAGTATTTATATGTGCTGCCCCTGTGCATGAAAATATATTGTTCTTTTTTATTTGCTATTGTTTCTGCGTTGCTTTGTGTTCACTGGTCATGGGAAATGGGAAATAATATAAATATTATAAATAAATAGTATTCAGAGTCCCACAGTGACCCATCGGATACACTGTGAAAGATCATGTAGAAATGAAAATTCTGTCTTCTGTTATTTCTCTCTAGCAGCTAGCATTTTAAGTATGCTGAGATAACAGAATTGCCATTTTTGGAGTGATTTTTCTCAGAAATCTTTTCCATTCTGTTAAGATCTGAATAGATCACTTCTGCCACCAAACCTATCAGTTTTCCAAATGCCCTCTCCCCTAAATTACACTGGATCACAATTATTGTGACTATGCAGAATTAAAGTTCTAGCGCTAGCCTCTTTGCTACTCCAAGAGGTTATTGCCTTCTCTCCTCTTTCATTACAGGAAGAGGTCTGTAAGTGAAGTACAGATAATGCATGACTTGGGGGAACATCTACATTCAGCAGACCGGCAAAACTGGCTCCTTGAGAAACTGCAAACTGTGCATCATGAACCTGAGGCTATTGAAGAAACTAAGCCCCGAGAAGCGAGGAGTTGGAGACTGCGTCCTGATCATGTGAAGCCGAAGATGCAAAAGAAACCAAAGGATTGGAACAAAGGTTATAAAGATACCACCTTCAAAACCAAGCTGCAGTGAAAGTATCATAGCTTTTCTTTCCAATTCAGTAGTAATGAGCAATTAGGGAATTTTATTATTTATTATTTATAAAACAAGGATGTCTAAGAGGATATCTGCATAATGTCACCTGTTGAAAAGTGGATGTACTTATTTTGTGCATTTTTTTCCCATTGCCTATTGTCAGTGGATCCCATGTCTTACACTGTTTCTTCAGTTGTCCCTGTAGCTTACAAGATGAATTGTGAGATCACATTGAGTAATCTACATTACTAACTATTGGGGTTTCCAAAGGCTAAATGAGAAAGGCCTTTTCCTGGTGATATGTTTTTTTTATTGATTTGGATGCTTCATTTCCAGATTTAGCACATTAACATATCACACTAACAAAGGAATGCATTGATCCTGATAATTCTATTTAGGTTACTTTCCAGAAGATGACAATGCAAGAAAGATATGCAGTAGCAACAACTGGGGCCTTGTCCTTGGAGAATCATGCCTTAATCATTTTTTAAAATCCTAACACAATGAAAATAATTTAAGGGTTAGGTTCAAATGCCTATTTTATCTCAAGGGAACATGTTATTTCATAACATTGAAACCTGAAACACCACTTGGATATGGAGGAACATGCAGTTGTACATGCATATCTCTTCATACTTTTACAATATATAGCTATTTCAACAATGGCATGATTGGATAGTAGCCCCTAATCATTCAAACAACCAATTGCACAACCCTATAAAAGAACTTTCAAGTTACATGAATCTGAAGTGAATCTGAAATTTTGGTAATTTATGTAGAAACCTATTTTGAAGTTGTGAATCTACACGTAATTTTTTGGTCACAGAATTTAGTGGAACTAACAGTATGGATAATAAAGATGGTATGGATGGGCTCAAGCACACAAGGAGCCATAAAACACACTAGTCACTGCATTTATTCCAGATGAACTAGGCTAGCTTTTTAAAATATGAGTATTATACTCTCTATTGATTTACCCAATATGGTCTCTATATTCCTTTCTCTTAGATTTTCATTTCAGACATTCTGCAAAAGTTGGTTAATAAATAATAAATAATATAAAATATGTTCACCATTTTAGTCTAGAAGTGAATAATCTGATAATCATTTTACTGCATCTGCAACTGATGTTCTGGCTTCTTAAAAGCCTCTGGCAAAGTTTTTAACTGAGTCAGAATATTCTATTGTACTTTAAGTGACTTGATCTGACAACAAGGAATTGTAATAATGACCCTTGAATCTGCAGAAATCTACATCGCATTCAGTAGTATTCCATGGGAACAGGGTTCAGATGTGACATATTGTGTGTTTATGGAAGCAAGACTTTAAAAATGCACCTTTTATTTATTCTTTTGTTGTATGTTCACATCTACTTTACACAAATTCAATTTAGTTCCTTTATAACTGTATCTTGCTAATGCCTTATCAAATAAATGGACCAAAAGCTGTTGGACAGTAGTAGTTAAAAAGCACAACTCTTCAGCATTTCTGTCATTATTTGTATAGATTTTTCTTCTAATACAAAACAATGAAATAATTTAGCTGAATTCACTAACAAAGAACATATTGCTATTTGCCTGACACACTGAAGCACCAACAATCCAGGATTTGGCTAAGATGCTCTTTAAATATGGCTTGTTATTTAATGATTTGATGTATGTAAGAGTTTCCAGCTTTGCAGACCGGCAGGGTGGGGGGTGGGATGGTTCCACATATTGACAAGTGGGTGCCGCTCCATTTGCATGAGTGGTGTGCATACATGCCTATCGCTTGTACCAATGGTGCACGCACACCCATTGCTTGCACAAGTGGGGATAAACACGCATGTGAGTGGGCTTGCCTACTGCTTCCGCGGCCCGGTTCCAAATAGCTCACGGCCCAGGGGTTGGGGACCACTGGTGTATGCAAACCTAGAAAATTGGATTCAGTGAAACAATATTAACCACGAGTATGCATGGTATATGAATATAGTCACCATGCTGTTCAAACTTGAAATAGCTGCCATTTTGGTCTCCATTTATCCAAATTCAGTGATGTATAACAACCTTTATAGCATTTAGCAAAAAAAGATCTAATGTGGGAGTGTTTAACATTGGAACATCAGGGAGCTAAAAAAAAAACCGTTAAATGTGTCAAGGGGTGGACTGTAGGGTGTGCTATGCAAACACAACTGTAGAAAGATCTATCATAGGTAGTCCTTGTATAATCACAATTGCCCTGGAGTTTCCATTGCTAAGGGAGGTGGTCATAAAACAGATCATGTGACAATATCTCTTAGCAACAGCAATCCTAGCACTCCCTTTTGTCATCGTAACTCCAGCATGGGTTGTTAAGCAGGAAATGAAGGAGCCCCAGGTAAGGAGTTGAGCTGATGCAGGAGATGGGGAGGCTACAAACAGGCAATGCACTATTTGGGGGGGGGGGTTGCAGTACAACACAAACTCATGGAGGCCAGGAAAAGATGGTGCGGGATGATTGTGTGTATGTGTGTGACTACAAGGTGGCAAGAGAAAGAATATGCTAGGGCTGAGGGGCTTCTTGGCTCACCATTTACAGCCCAGCCATGCAGCATAAATCTGCTGTGTCTCCAGAAAGGACCAAAAATGTAGCATAAAGCTGCCACACCCAGGAAATGCCAAGTGTGGCACAAAGCTGACGTGCTCTGGGAAGTGCCAAGAGCATGGTGCAAAGCTTTGGCCAAAAAGTGTTACCCAACCCATCGATTCTCACTATCTCACACTCCCAGCTAATCTCTGCCATCTGCTTCCTCCCACTGCTGACCTCCCTCCCACTTGCTTTCCCAGCGTCTTTATGAGGCAGTTGCCAGTCAAGGGAGGCCATCTTCCCCTGGTCTAGCACACTCTTTGGAAAAAGGCAGACGCCACATCCTTGCAATACTTCCGAAGACCTCAGAAACTTTCCAAAGGCTTTCAAAAGCATTGCACAGATGGGATGCACTAGTATTTGGAGAATGGCAGGGACAATTTGAAGAATGGTGCCAGCACTGCCTTGCAGTAAGAGGATGATGCCATAGGTCAGCTAGGTGTAGCAAGGTTTGGGGTTTGAGGTGGCATTTCTCAGTGGCAGCAGCAATGCTGGTGCTGAAATAGAGGTCTAGGGGCATTAACACCTGGCTGGTCCCAAGCCTCTATTTCAATCCCTCTGCTGCCAAATGCTATGTATGATAGTCAAAAGAACACAGAATGGTGCAGATACGTGATAGAGGGGATCTGGAGAGTCCATGTGGTTGTAAGGATGGGTGGGCAGTCAAGCACACTAATTTTGATCACTTCACTGTGGTGAGTACCGCAATGGTTGTATCTTTGTGGACCAGTCATAACTCACTTTTTTCCAGCATCATAGTAACTTTGAATAGTCACTGAATGAATGTTTGTAAATTAAAGGATACCAGTACAATATAAAACAGAGGTCCCCAACCTTTTGGGCACCAGGGACTGGCTCCGTGGAGATAAGTTTTTCCACGGACTGGAGAGTGCGGGATTTTGTGTGCTGCCTGCATCTCACGGATGAGGCTTTGCTTGTTTGTGTGGCCCGATTGCTGGCATCCCGCAGCCCGGTACTGGTCCACGGACCAGGGATTGGGGAGCCCTGGTATAAAACACAATGACCAGAAATACTTATATCTTACAATTCACGCCACTAGAGGGAGCTCTGAAAGCTTTAAAAAATAAAGTATCACTCTCGGATATTTTATTTCTACTTCGGCAAGTACATCAAATGGCTGGACGTAAAGGAAAGTAGCTGGCTTAATCTGAAGGAAACTGGTCAGCAGCAATACAGTGGAAAAATCTGTGTATAAAAAAACGGTACTTCCTTTCTCTTTAAGAATTGCAAATTCAATCACAAATTTAGATTCAAAGTTGGCCAAACTGTTTCTAAACAGAATTATATTAATTTATGAATGTACTACATTTATGGACAAATTTTCTACTGAAGAATACAAGACAGTTTCTATTTGAAAAGAAGGATTGGGTTCATGGAATACGCAATGTTGAAATGGAGTTATCTGGCTTGTTTGTGGCTGTGTTTGTATAAAGCCCGCTCTCAGGTAACCCCGAGTACAGGTAGTCTCAAATTAGAACCACAATTGAGCCCAACATTTCTGTTGCTAAGCGAGACAGTTGATAAATAAGTTTTGCCTCATTTTACCACCTTTCTTGCCACAGTTACATGAATCACTGCAGTTGTTTAGTAACACAGTGGCTAAGTGACTCTGGCTTCCCCATTGACTTTGCTTGTCAAATGGTCACAAATGGTGATCACATGACCCTGGGACACTAATCTGTCATAAATGAGTCAGTTGCCAAGTGACTGAATTTTGATCACATGATCATGGGGATGCTGCAACAGTTGTGTGAAAAAACTTTTAGTGCCATTGTAACTTTGAATGGTCACTAAACAAACTGCTATAAGTCAAGGACTACCTGTACATCACATTCATTTGTACAAAGTGTTAATTTAACATTTTTCTAGAGCCTCTGAATACAGAGACACGGGTTAAAGCAACTCTATCTCCTCTCTTCCGTCCTCCATGAGTGTGCTAGTAGTTAGTGAAACAGTCCAGAAAGCCTTGTAGTTTCGATGTAGTAGCTCCAACCTGATAAGGGCCCTTGGCTTTGTATCATTTTGTAGATTTTGAAAAACGAAACAAAACAAAAAGGACAGCCTGACAAGCTTCAAAAATACAAGATAGCTGCTCCCAAAATAGCTATTGTAGCCCTTGGATATTTCACGGATATTATATATTTCAATATAATTCACCAAATATGCTTTAACCATTTCATTTAAAGGTTCAGAATGTTATCTGAATCTAGAAATTTAATTTCTGGATCAGGCTGCAAACACCCCCAAACAATCCCAGATTGTTAATTATCTAATGGAGTGATGCCTTGCTCTATAAGTTCACTACTGAGGTTTAACTCTTTTGCTTGGTCTTGAAACCTAAAGATTGGAACAGGGTTGCCTGAGGCACTCTACTGTGGTTTTCCTTTAAATTTTAACAGCATTAGGGTAAAATTGAGGACAGAAGCAAACAGTTCCTTCTTAATATGCCTGACTCTGACCAGAGTTCATGAATTTCAAGTCTTTTAAACCATTTTTTTTAAAAATGATTTACGGACTAGGAACTATTGTAGCTGCAAAGGCATGTGAAATACCACACAACTTACCTACACATAACTTATGAAAGCAATATTAAACAATATAAAACTCTTGGTTGCTTACTTGCAGACATTACATTACCTCACTAGGTTAACATCATAAGGGCTAATGAATGTGGGTTTGCTCTGTTTATATACAGCTGTTTGCCTTAACAGAGTAGGTGTGTGTGTTTGTGTTTTCTATTTGTTTGTCTTGTGTTAACAATCAATTGATAACAATCAAACAGAAAACTATTCTAATCCAGTAACCACCAAGGAGAAAAGCACATCCCCACCAACACTGGCAGAGCAAGCTATTGTATTTAAACAGGGAGCAAACCCACACTCACTCCCACTGACCTGACTTAATCCGATAATGAAATACTTGCAAGCACACAAGCTCAGAGAGAATAAAGGACTCCATAGTTCAACCCTAAACTACATAGAATCTCTTCCACCGGAATAACACAATATATCTGGATCTGCAAAACAAATTAGGTAGTTTCCTATCTTTAGCCCAGTGACCCATATTATCACACGGATATTAGGCGTGCTTGGTAAATGGCCTTCTGAATTTTTGCTCTCCTTTCCAGCCAAGCACTAATATCCCCATGCCCGGCCACAAAGAAGCTCAATGGATTCAGTGATTAAGTGCGGGATTATAACCTGTAATCTGAACCAATGTCCAGGGAACTTGAGGTGGTTTCTTTCTAAACAGACACTAAACAGAATGAGAGTTTCTCAATAAAGGCAGCGCGGACTCCTTTCCTCGTTAAGATGGCCAAGCCACCCTCTGCCGCAGGTTCTTTAATTTGAATGTCACAACTGCGCAGATTGGTTTCCTTTTTTTTCTACCGTTGTATTTTATCAACTACCTCTGGTATAGATTCTAGTTTGGAAGAAGCTATGACGATTTGGGTTTAAACCGCTGGGGAGCTGAACGTGCCTTTTATCCACCAGAGAAGGAACAGCGCTGAAATAGCAGGCCAGGCCGTTCAACCCGAGTCACAGCTCGGGGGGGGGGGGTCCTTGAGGACCGGTTCCTTGCGTTTAAGTGCCAGAAGGAGGGGACGCCGCCGCTGCTGTTGCTGCTCCTGGAAGGAACGTGAGGACGAGGGCAGCGAGAAGAAACAGGCCGTTGCCGCGCGACCACAAACTCGCCCTCCGGCGACTTGATCCGAGTCGCGGGCTGTCGAGCCCGCAGAGATCAGCTGATTTCCCCGGGGGAAAAATTCGATCCGGTTTCTCCCCTGACTGACTTCCCCTTTCTGGTCGAACTATCGCGAGCGTTCGGACGTCAGACTAGAGGA